ACGGGAGCTGCAGCTTCCAAGACTTGTTACACGGGTTTGATTCAAAACCTGATAAATTGTATTTAACGCTATTTGAAAATTTTAAACGAAATTATTCAAAAGATTTTTAATCCTGGATAATTTTTGTTGAAACTCTAATTATACATCACCTTAATTACCAGCCCCAGCCCCCCAAGGATCCCTAATTGCCTCCTAATTGAATAAAACAGGGGGCTAATCGGGCCCACGGCGTCCCAGCGAGCTGCCACCAGCCTCGCCTCCCTTGAGGGGCCTGGTGGGGGGAGCCCTTGGCTGCCGGGCCACCTTCCCCCACAGCCTCCCGGCAGAAACGGCAGCCCTGGTCCCCTGCTCTGCGCACCGCCCAGAAGAGGGCTTGGGAGCGGAGGAAGCCTTGGGGCCAGGAGGGGCCAGGAGGTCTGGCCGGCACCTGCTCTGGAAGAGCCGCTCACAGGACAAGCAGGACGCCCCCAGTGGGTGTCTGGTGGTTGGCGAGCCTAGGGCATGGCCAGCGCCTGTCCCCAAGGAGCCCACCCAGCAGTTGCTCCAAAGCCAGCTTGGCAAGCCCCCTCCTGCCAGCTTCCGAGCCATGGCACACCTGCGAAGCCAGGGGCACAGGGAGGGCCTGTGGGCGACACACAGTCCACTGCCGTGGGGCACCAGGCCCTGGCGGCCAGCCCGACACTCCACCCCTCCACCGCAGCCTCTATGTTTTCGTCCGAAGCGGGGCAAGAGGCTGGACTCCCGCCGGACGTCCTGGCGCTGCTGCCCTAACCGGCCTCCAGACGGAAGGCTGCCGTCCTGGCTCCGGGGAGGGGACTGGTGGAAGAGGCCAACTTCCCCAGGGAGGGTGGGAGAGGGGAGGGTCCAGTCAGCCTGGCCTGTTTCTGCAGGAAGAAGGAAAGAGGCTGTGAGTTGGGCCTCCAGCCCCGCTCACCTCTACCCTGTCTCCAGCACACCTTCCACACACATCACCCTCAAACACAAGCAGGACACACACAGTCCCCATCTAGCGGGGGCCGCAGCTCCCCTACCCCAGGGGCTAGATGGCACTTATGGAGAGGACACTCCCCCAGCCCTGGAGTATGTGGCGTCTAGGACATGGGGTCTGCCACCTAGGTGGGGATCAGGCCTCAAGGAGCAGCTCTGATGGGGGCACCGACTGGCACATCCTTCTCCTGCACAGAGGTCCCCAGCTGTGCTGTGAGGGGGATGGTGGTCCAGAGGGCACCTTGGTGGTGCTAACCCCCCACCTGCCCACCTGGCTCACAACAGCCCTAGAAACAATAAGCTTTTGTTAAGCGTTGAGTTTGTGATGTGGGGCCGCAGCGGCCCCTTCCCCACCGGCCCTACTGCTCTGGCTTCAGTAGGGGGACCCTGTCCCCGAACTGTCCTCACTCTGCTCCTGGCCCCCAGGCTCAAGTGGAGGAGGCTGTAGGTTTCCCGTCACCTCAGCCACAGCCCCGGCTTGGGTGCCCCAGTGGCCACCTCTGTCCTTGGAAAGCTCAGCTGGGAGCCCAGGTCACCCCCAGAGCCGCCACTATTGAGCCCTTCACCAGACCCAGCCCGGAGGAGCAACCCACCTGAACGGAGGCTTGGAATGGCGTCTCCAGGGAAACACAAACGAGATTACACCTCCAGACGCACACTCGGCGGTGGCCCCCAAAACGCTGGGTCATGGGGTCGCCTCCACTGGCCTGGTGGCTGTTCTGTGCCCAGCCTGAATACCAGCCTGGTAACCATGACCTTGCCCCTGCCCCACCCCACAGTCCCCTGACCTGGTCAGCATTGTGGGGAGGGGAGGACCTGCTGGCTGCAGTGCTGGCCCTACTGCCTCTGATTCGGGTAATGGACTGTGGTCCCTAGGGAAGTCCACATCTGCTTAAAATATCGCCTGATGAAATGAAATTCTTCAGCGGATCCTGCCTTGCTCAGGGCAGGCAGTGTGATCCCGAACCTGCCTCAGCCACCTTGGGGGGCCTGGGGACAAGCGGTCCAAGCTGTGGAGCCCGGAAGGAGGGGTTCCCAGCGCTCGGCCAAGTGTGGACAGAGGGCTGAGGCCTTGCAATAACCTCTCATGGGGTTTTTCCTCACTAAAGACTCTCGGGAAAAGGAAGCCAGCGCTCGGCGCTCCCGCTGGGCCCGGCTCTCCGGCCTCCGGGCCAGGCCACCAGACGGCTGCCAGGCACCAGTTCTGGTCCTGAGCGGACCCGGTGCCGGGCCATCTTCCCCACCTGGCAGAGGTGGAGCCAGCGGAGAGCCGGGACCTCTTGGAAGTTTCCGAGGCCGCGCGGGTGCGCCGAGTCCCCCTCTCGCTTGCAGCGAAGGCCCCGGCGTCAGCGCGGCCGCTTTCCCCTTTTTCGCTCCAGCTTCGGGCCCATCCTGGGCTAGGGCCTGACCTGGTGGCCCACACGCAGCCCGGTGGTCCCGACTCTGAGCAGGCCCGCCGTGCACCCACAGAACCGAACCCGAACACGCACACGTACACCCCACGCGCGGAGGGCCCGCAACGCCGCGCACAGACAGCCCCTTCGCGTCGGCGGCGAAACGCCCGGCCTTGTTCGCACCAAGAGGGGTCAGAGGTCACGAGAGGCCGAGGCCAAGGGCACCCGGCAGCAGAGCGCGGCGGGAAGGGGGCGCCTCACCGAGGGGCCGGGAACGGCTGACGGCGGAGCGCAGGGGCGTCCGGCATAACTCGGGAGCTGCTTTTCCCTGGCGCACAGAGCGCGGGGCCTACGGCAGCCGGGCCGCTGTTGGGACTAGCCGGGCGGGTCTCAAGCCGAGGGAGCGGAGTTCGGAAAACCTCCGCGAGTCCCGCGCCCACCCGGCTCACGCTTGGGGGCTCGGCCCCGGGAGCTGCGAGGCCGACCTGGCGGGACCCGGCCCCGGAGGCGCGAACGGAACGGCGTGGGTCGGGCGGGGACCTCGAGGGGAGCGGCCCGGACGCCTCTTCCGCGGGTGGGCGGGCGGGCGGCCTGCAGAGGAGGGGGCGGCGGGAGCAGGCGGCGCCAATTCCGCTCCGCGCGGCACTGGCCGCTTCGCTGCACCCGGGGCTTCGGCGGGGCTGCGGGAGCCGCGCTGCTCGGGCCGCGGCGCCGCCCGTCCTCACCTGCCCGCCGGCCTCACCGCGGATGGCGCCGGCGGCCGGGGCTGCGGGGTGCGCGCGGGCTGCTCGGAGGCGCAGTGGCGGGCGAGGGCGCGGGTGGCTGGAGCAACCGGCCCGCGGCAAGGACCGGCTGGCGGCAGGCGGGACGCGCGGAGCCCGGGGCTCGGCCGAGACGGAGCGAAAGAGAAAGTAAGACCGAGGACCAGGCAGTCTGGCCGGGGCAGCTCTGTCCCCGCCGGGCCCGGCTGTGCCAGGCAAGCGGGTACAGAGGGGTCCGCGCGGGCCCAAGGGCCGCAGCGGTGGGTCGGGAGGTCGCCTGGTGGGGACCCTCCTGTCGGAGGCACGGTCGCCCGGGCGGCCCGCGCAGGCTGCCGGCGTCCCAGAGGAGCGCCCTCCACCACGCGGGGCACCGCCGGGGGATAAACTTCACGCCCACAGTTCCCAGCCTAGGCAAAAGTCTCCATTTTGCTCCCCAAGTGGCTGCGGCTGTCCCGCCGTTGCTACCCCTGCCCCTGCGCCCGCGGAGCCGGGTGGGCGCCGGCCCGCGCCCCCTCCTCCGCCCCTCCCCGGCTCGGGGTCTCCCTCCTCTGCGCCCGGCTGGCGGACGCCAAAGGCGGTGCTCTAGCGCCCACTATTTCAAAAGCCCGGAATATGATTTGACCAGGACTGAGAGCCACTCGGAGAGAGAGAGGGAGAGAGCGAGCGGGGAGGAAAAAGTTGCTCTCCCCTTTCGTCAACTTTTCGCTAACTTTCACTTTTCGCTCCCCTCCACCCCCGGCCCTCCCCCTCCGCCCCCCTCCCCGGCCCCCACCGCGCGCCTCGGGTTCCCGGGCCCGAGCGCCTGACACTGGTGGGGGGGGAGGGGGTTCGGCGGGGAGGGGGCCGGCGCCTTCGGGGAGCGCGCGGCCCGGGCGCCCCGAGCCTCCGCGCCGAGCCCGGTCGCCCCGGAGTGCGAGAGGCGGAGCAGCCCCCCGGGCCGCGCGGCCGAGCCGGGGGCCCGGAGCCGCAGGCGCGCCGGCCGCGAGCCGGGGCCCGAGCCGCAGCGCCGCCGCGCCCCGACGCTGCACCCTGGCCTGGGCGCCCCGGCCCGGCGGCCTGGCCTGGGCAGCGCGGCGCGGCAGAGCGCGGGAGACTTACTTTTGGCTAGCTTCCTCGCCCTCGCCTTGGATCGCATGGTGTCGGCTCGCGGAATCTCTCTCCTCCTCCTTGAGTCCAGAAGCAGCCACACACTATCTTCATCTCCCCAGCATTGTCAGTTTGGACACCTTCGCACATGCGCACAGAGCACTCAATCTGACACCCCTCGCCGGGGCCAAAAAAACTTTGCAATGTATTCATCATCCTCATCGTCGCGCCGCCGCCGCCGCCGCCGCCGCCTCGGCGCGGGATTGGGGGGCTCTCCTCGGCCTTCTCGGTCTTCGTCTCACTTATCTCTCCCCCCTCTCCCCCCCCTTTTCAGCGCAGCTCGGAACTGGCCCTTTAAGAAAACATTCCGTGCTCGGCGCTCCCGCCCGGGGCCCGCACCCCGGACACTTTAAAAGGACCCAGGTGGCCCCGGAGGCGAGGTGACTATCCCCCCACCCTGCCCCTGCGTCGCGGCGCGTCGCGCTGCTGCTCCCGCCCCAGCCGGGGCCGAAGATGGGGCGGCGGCTGCGGGTTTCCACACGACTTCCTTGGATCTCGGGGCACACGCGCCGATAGTTCGGACGCGGGTCCGGGCTGGTTTTGCTCCATTTTACAGCGTTTTATTACTAATTAAAAAGCTTTGCGTTCCTAGTCGCCCCGGCCCGCTTTTCTCCTGCACTCTCCCCTCGGCCCCCGTCCCCGCCCCGCGGGGCGCTGGAGGGGGCGTCGGGGCTCGCGCGCCAGAACCCGGCTCCTCCGAAGCCCCTCCGGGCCCCGCCGCCCCCCTCGGGCCTCCCGGCCCCCGCCTCCTCCCCTTCGCCCCCACCCAACGGCTGCTGCTTCGGGCTTCGCGGCTCAAAAACAACAGCGGAGGCGCCGCCAGCTCTGCGCTCCGCCACTGCCCAGGCCGGCGGGCGGCACTGGGACCCGCCGCCCTCGGTCCCTCGCGAGGCCGCGGAGGCCAGCACGCCTCGCAAGGGGGGACAGCGCGGGGGCGGCCGTCCAAACACCAGGCGTCCTCGGCTGGTTGTCCCAGGGCGCCCGCACCTCTCCGCCCGCGCGCTCCTGCCGCCGCACCCCCCAGGTGAGTACTCGGCTGCGCGAGCGCCCGTGCTGGGCCACCTTCGGGGACCTGGGCCTCTGGGGACACTCCCCTCTGGCCTCTCCGGGCCCAGGTGCGTAGGGGACGGAAGGGCCGGCGGCGCAGGTGGAACAGCGCAGACAGGAGCCGACCAGACGCTTCCTCTTCCCCTGCAGCCCCCAAACTCCGAGTCGCTGCGGCGGAGGGGCCGGGCTAAGCGCAGGCAGGGTGGCCCCTGCCCAGGAACCGGACGGTCCGAGTGCGGATTTCTCATCTGAGTATCTGGGAATCGAGAATGAATTGGAAGGAAACCGAGGCGCTGCCCTGGCCGGGTTGCTCCCCTGCACCCTTCTGGAGCACTGAGGTCCTGCCCGGCAACAGGACTTGGAGCTGCCGCAGAGTCAGCCTGAGCCTGAGGCAGGGGTCGCGCCCGCGATGTGGGGTCTCTCCGCCGCCCCGCGAGGCTCCTGGCCGTGCCCTCCCTGCCCTTTGTTGTGTAATGAGACCTGTGGCGGCTTCACTGAGACCCACACGTGGAACTCCGCGCCTCCGCGTTAAAGGAGGTGAAACGCAGCAGCCCTGAGAAATCCCAGACCCCGGTGTCCTAGCAGAGGCGCCCCAGATGGGGAAGGGCGTGCGGCCGGCGCTACCCCAGAGGGAAAGCCCAGCGGAGCGGGGCTGGGCGGGAGCCGGCGGCGGCGATGCGCTGGGCCTTCTGCCTTGGATCCTCCGCAGTCGGCACCACTTCCTTGCTCAGATTTGAACCCAGATACGGCTCCCATGGCTCCAGGGTGCCCAGTCTTGCAGCCAGCTCGCCGCCCGAACCCTGGATGGAAGAAGCGCTCACTGGCCGCTACCTCTGCTGTTTCTGGCACCAGGTGAGTGTTGCCCAGGGAAGGGCCATGAGCAATGGCATAGCCGCATTCCCTGCCATCCTTCTGAGGGTCTATCGACCCCTTTACCCACCCTCCCCACACCCTGACCATCTTTCAACAGGGGCTAGGGCACAGAACGGCTCAATTTACAGGCCCAGCTCTGGAGATCTTGATCAGCATAGCAGACTAGGGCACTGCTGCAGCTCTGGACGGCCAAGGCCGGTTCTGAACCTGCTCACCCGAGTGGGCGGGAGGTGCTGGAGCCCAAGAACACAGGCGCTGTCCTGCCTACACCCTACCAAGGGCAGACTCCCGATGGTAGGCCCAACCTGGCTGGAGCTGCTGGCCAGAAAGGACTCAAGGTCACTCCCGCATCTCTGCACCCAGCTCCCCCTTGCTCCTGCCTGAAGCCTCCGCAGGTTTGGGCGGAGGCCTGGGGAAGTTACTATAGTGCCTGCAAAGCACTCCCACCTGCAGAGAGGGTCCCTTCCCCACCCTTACCCTGCAGCCCAGCAAAGGCCTCCTTTGCCTGTGGCCTGGAGGTAGCCAACAGATGCCAAGGTTGTGTAGTCCTGGCCTTCTTGTAGGGGTGCCCCAGTTCTCTCCGGTCCTTTCCATGCCTCCTCTTCCAGCTCAGGAGGTGATTCTCAGAACCCTGACCAGGCTAGGACAGGACCGCCATCCCTGGCACTGTTGCCAGCACCTAGGGAAGAAGGGCAGGAGGTATGGGAGCAAGCTGGTCTGTGCCATCTGGCCCCTGCCCTCCTCCAGGCTGTTGGGTAGGGATGAGGTCACGGATCTGCCTGCAGAGGGGTAGCTGCCGGTCAAGCCTGGCCAGGGAGAAGCTGGGCTGCCTACCCGCAAGGCACTGATGCAGCCCTGGCTCCGGTGGGTCAGTGTCTCCCCAGCCTGCTCGGGAAGCCCAGGCAGGCTGTCCCCAAGGCCAGGGCCCTGGCCGAGGTTGCATCCTGGCCTGGCCAGGCCCTGCCCCCGCGTGGCCAGACTTAGAAGCGGAGTGCAGGTCAGGATTGAGGAGTCCCATGAGGAAAAAGAGTGAAGCAGGGAAGATGACATGCAGGTGCTCCCTGGGGCCCAGTTCTGTGTTCCTGCCTGGCAAGGGCTTTGGGGGGCTTGGGGAACAGGTAGGGCAAGTGGAGGCCCAGTGGGGAAAAGGTTGGTATTAAAACTTTTAAGGGCAATTTTCAAACCAAGTCTAGGTCTGCAGAGCCTTGGGGCTGACGCCAGGCCCTGGGGCCCCTGTGCTGGCAGTGTGAGTGCTGTGAACTCATTCCCACTGACCTCCTTGAGTTGTCCAAGGACAGTGAGTGTGGGGTGACCACAAAGAGGCTCCTACACTGGACAACTGCACGCTGCTGTCGAGTTCCACAACCAATCTTATAGCTGGGGTCTTGGAGGTTAGCTAACCACCTACTTCTGCTGGGGTCCGGGCAGAGAGGGAGTCCATGGAAACTCGATTTCCCCATGCGCCCTGCAGGCTCCCAGTGTTTCTAGCGGCTGGAGATCCATGACCGGGTTAATTCCTTAGAGAAAAGGCCAGGCTTGAGAGCCAGAAATGCTGGTCCTGCAGTGCTGGAGGAAGCATCTTATTAGACAGCGAGTAGGAGGGCCCCAAGCCCCAGGGGTTCCCCAGAAGCCCATTGAGTAGCAGAACTACCATGTCGGCCGGCCCTGCACTCCCTGAATCTACAAATGCATTCTAGGGCTAGAGGGCCCCTTCGCTTGGCCAGGTCTTGTGCCCCATGCCAACTGGCAGGATCATAGCTGCCCCAGCTGCCCCCACCTCCAGCCCCTCAGGCCCCAGAGAGCCCTGCTTTGGGCTGTGTGTGCAGGACGGGAGGTGGGCATGGCACCTTGCAAGATGGACTGACCTCCCCAGCTTCTCACCCCTTTCCCTCCTGCTCCTCTGTGGGGTTTGAACTTGCCCATGGGTTTTCAGATACTTGGCCTCAGGCTCTATTGAATTCCAAGTCAAGGTTTTACTCACTCCACACCCCCACCTTGTTCCTCCAGGTAGCAAGGAAGCACATAGCCTCTGGTTTACCAACGGGCTTTCCTGGGAGATTGGAAATGCCCCAGGTGGGATCCAGACGGCCAGCACTCACCCCACCCCCAATATCTGGGCCACTGAGTCAGGCCAGGATGAGGCTCTCACTCTCTGGGCATGTTCTCCTGCCCCACACTTGGTGGAAATGTCTCCCAGACTTGGGCAGCAGGAGGCAGGAGACCACAGGGGCCCTTGGGGATGGCTGACTTGGCTCCCACTAGACAGAGGGGAACACGGAGGAGGGCTGCTTGGACCCCGTACCTCGCAGGGTCTCAATGGGGGCTGAACGCTGGAAGGAGCCTGCATTTGGTCTAGAATGGTGGGGGTGGGTGGGAGACACAAGTCATCGAAAAGGCCATTTCTTCCCTATTCAGGCCTCTGAAATGACCCGAAGTGGGTGCTTCCTCCAGCATTGTGCCTCAGCTGCACACTGGGGTCATAGGAATCCCCCCCAGACCCTGGGGTCAATATTTCTGGGTCCCTTTGAACCTTCTTCTCACCCGAGGCCTGGGAAGCCTTCCTGCGCCCTGGAATACTTGGAGAGGACACGACACAGGTCCCAGTTCTGGCCCAGTGGTGGCAAGGTTCCGTCCCCTGCACTCAAATGTATCCCAAAGCCGATACCCAATTCCAGGTCCCAGAGTGGGTAGCCGGGAGGAGTGGACTTCCCAGGAATGTGAGCCACGTCACTGATTTCGAACAAACCCCAGATGTGTGGAAACTGACTTATTTTGATTGCAAGAGGATCCTTGTCCCTTGCAGATGGGCAGCTTCCGGGGACCGGCTTGCCATCAGCAGGCACGATGCTGTGGCCACTCCAGTGGAACCCCTCTGCCCGGCTTTGTGTCCTGGCATCCCCACCAGGGTGCCCCGCTCTCCTGCGCAGATGTCGGGAGTATCTGGATGCCCCGTGGGCACTTCAACGGCCCAATTCGGAGTTTTTTGTTTTGTTTTGTTTTAAGAGATTGAGACTGTGAACCTGAACTCCCTTGATCTCCCGTTGGGCCCAGGAGGGAGCCTAATCCAGGCCCAACCGGGCTCACTGAGAAGGTGCAGGAAGCCCCCAACGACTCCTACTCGTGTGCGGCCCTTACTGGGCCGGGACGCTGCAGTGGTCGAGTCGCTGGGTGTCTGCAACCGGGAGCTCCCCCGCCGCTGGGGGCAATAAACGGAATCGGTTTCCCACGCTTTCCGTCTTGATCTCAGAACCTTTAAAAATCCGCCAACGAATGTCGTTGCCTGGATGCGCTGCGTGTGACCTTCAGCCGTGTGTTCACGCGTACCCGCAGCGGTGGAGTGGCGGTCCCTTCCTGCCGCCGCAACCCCGGGGCCGCCGGTCTGCGCACACCGGCAGCAACTTCGTTACCCACAGCGCCCGCGTCCTGCGGCTCGCGCGGAACTGCGCGCGGGAAGGTGGCAGAGGGACCGCTCCAGAACCCTGCTCGCGTAGACGCTGCCTCTGCCTTCAGATCCCAGTTCGGCCGCGCGCGGGCGGGGCCCTGGCAGCAACGAAAATGGCGAGTCTCGTAGCCTTCCGGGCCTGATGGCCGCATTCCGGGAGTCGCCAGGTGGGAGCCCGCCTTCCGCGTCCCCAAACGCCCAGAGCCAGGGACACGGGCCGGCGGCGGGGTGACCAAGCCAGTTCCCCGCATCGGCTCGCGCCGAATCCATATTCGGCTTGCAAGGCCCCCTCCGGCCGTCTCTCCGCAGAGCGCCCTGCCCCACACTGCCGGCCCTCTTAGCTTGAAAACCAAATTTTGCCTTTGATCCTGAGAGATTAATACCCCACAGGTGAAACCGTGGAGACGAGCTGCGGTGGGTTTCTTCTCTACGCCTCAGTTTCCCCGTCTGTGAAATGGGACCAGGCGCGCCTGTGCTCCTCCGGGAGTTTATTGCAGGGCTGGCTGGAGAGAATGGCTGGGTGGAAGCCGCCAGGTGGAGGCCCATGGTCGCCCACCCCGTGGGCCTCGTTTGCTGGGCGGGGGTCAAAGGCTTGCGAGGCAGGGATCGCCCCAAGGGATCGCCCTGCCGGTCCCTGTCTCCTCCCCTCGCTCCCCTTCCCCCGGCCTTCCCGGAACTCTCTTCGCCCGCTGGGTGGAGGAGGGGCGAGGGCCGGCTCCGCCGTCCCCGGGATCGCTCTCCTCCCACCCCCACCGCAGAATCTGGCCCGCCCTGGGCTTTCCTCTCAGGTCCCTTTGGGTCTCCGGAAACCCGGAGGTTTCGCGCAGACTCGAACCTGAGATGGCATCATCCAGCACCCCAGATCCTGCGGAGGGCGGAGGGGATTTGGGGAGAAGGCAGGGGCTGCCAGGGGCGCTTGGGCTGCTGGGGGTGGGGGACAGGGCCTGCGGGGAAAGCGGGTGGGGGAGGACTGGAGACCCAGGCCCCCCTAGATACAACGAACCTCGCGGGAGGGAATACGCCGTCCCCGCACCCACTTCTAAGGACGTAGGTCTTTTAGTACCGGTGGGCCGCGTTCCCACACATCTGGGCGGGCCCCGCAGCATGGCCTGGGGAGCTGAGGCTTCCGGGTCTGACACAAACTACCTTTCTGGGTGTAGAAGGAGGAGGTGGGGTGGGGGAAGCAGGGGGCCGTGGTCTGAGCATACCTTCTCGCCTCTGGGCCTCCCACCTCCTGGGGCAGGACCTACGGGGAAGGACGGGAGCGGAGTGCGGTGGCCGGGGGGGACACCCAAGGGTCTACCCCTGCGAGCTTTGCTTTCTACTAAACCAGTAACTGTAGTGGTGGTGGCGGTGGAGACACAGCTCAAAGAGCCGGCAAGAATAGAGCAGACACCAGGATCGCCCCAGGCAGGGAAAAAATGACCAATTCTGTAGAGTGACCCGAAGGTGATGGAATCACTCGGGCGTCCTCCTGGGAAAGGGCTGCCTGCGTCCATGCCCCCGGGGCTGGAGAGAGCAGCCAGGCACAGGTAACTCAGGAACTCTGGTCTCCTCACCCGGTGCTGCGCTGTGGGGCGCCCTCACCCCCACACTTTGTGTCCCTGGGCCTCCTCATCAAGGCAGGGGCCCTGAGTGGCAGGGACACCCCTGTGTGCACAATATGCCGCCTGCAGCCCCCACAGGTCACCTGTTTGAGGACCTAGGTGGGGCCTGCCCTGGGTGAAGAGGGCAGGTCCAGCCTTCAGCAGCCCTTCCCCCATGACTTCAGTGGAATTACAAGGGGAACACCCAGGGCAGCTCCCATAGGCTGCAGAAGGGAAGAGGGGAGGGCTTCTACTGAGGTGAGACAGAGTGATCCACCCCTCCCACACCATCAGCCTCCCTCCCCTCTCCACCCTTCATTGCTGGGACCCCAGGGCCTATAGACAGCTGGGGGAGCGGGGAGACAGGAGGAACTCAAGCTCAGCTTCTGCCTCCTGTCTCCTGGGACCCTTGGGCAGCCCCTCCAGCTTCCTGGGAGTCCAATTTCCCAACGTACAACAGGTGGCGGCAGAGCCTGGCCCCGTCGTGGGGCGGCTGCACCCAGGTGAGTGGCTTGCAGTTCCCGGAGCCCTGCGGGTTGTTGGAGAGTCGGGGAGCCTTTCTTCCTCCCCCCTGCCTCTTGCACTTCCTCTCCCACAACCCAGGGCTACTCCCAGAGGCTCTGAACTGGAGCCCTAGAAGGTAACCACCTCGTGGCTGGACACAGAGAGAGCAAGTTGGGGCCAGGAGTGAGGACAGGTGCCCCAGGAGCCACCTGCTCCACTCATCCACAAAGGCCTTAACTGGCTCAGGGGCCCCTGAGCTCTCAGTCAAGCCCCGCCCTCCTGACCTTGTCCTGCCCTGGTGCTGCCAGTCGGGTGGAGGTGTCTCAGGGCCAGCTGGTCTCCTGGCAACTGAAGCCCACACTTCCTTCCATTCACTCATTCCTTCCTTCCCTCACACCACGCAGGAGGCGCTGTAAGGCTCAGTGCTCCTGGAGCTTCGAGTCTATGATATGAGTTAGGGTGTCTCCTCCATCAGATCTACAGGAGGGTGTCTCCTCCATCAGACCTGGAACTTCCAAGGCATTTTACCCAAAGCTCCAGCACCTGACCCAAGGCTGGGCTGTGCTCTGTCCTCAGTGAAAGAATGGATGAGTCACAACTGAGTGATTGGAGAGAGCTGAACGAGTAGGTTTCCCTGGGTTTTCCACAGGCGGTTTCAGCCCAGGGGAAGACCCAGGGAGATGAGGACGTCATGGTGTGGAGGCAGCAGCCTGGGGCGGGGACTGTGCTGAGTGCCTGAGGCCAAGATACCCCTCTGTAACCTCCATAATCCGTCAGGTCTCAGAGGGCTGCCCTGTGTTCAGTTAGCCAATGCCAGCACCATATGACGAGGACACGGCAGTGAAGAGCTGCCCAGGCCCCTTGCACTGTGTTTGGAAAAGGAAGCTGGCTTGTTCTGGGGTCCCCAGCAGGATGGGGAGCAGGGGTGGGGACCCTGGCAGAGCGAGAGTTCTAGGAGAGAAGCTGGTCCACCCACAGGCTCCCTGGCCTGAGTGCCGCGCCAGGCAGGGTGCTAGGCATTGTGCTGCTCACTTCCCACCCCTGGGCTGCCACTGTGGGCTGTGTGGCCTTCCCAGTTCTGTGAGCTGGGTGCTGTGATTGTGCCCACCTTACAGATGGGAAGACTGATGCTCAGAGACTTCAGCAACCTAGGCAAGGACCTGTCCTTAGAGGCAGAAGCAGTACTCAGAGGAAGAGCTCCCTGACCACAAAGCCCCAGGTGACTTACCCTGCAGGGATAGAGCTCTCCGGGGTGTGCAGGGTGGCAGAGGTGCCTCTGAGAAGAGATCTCTGCCTGGGACCCTTTCCTGGGGCTCTTATGGTGCTGGGAGTGTGAGCACCACAAGAGCCCCACTACAGTGATGCCACCCAGAGGGCGCTCTGGCCTATTGGTCACCCGTGTCCTTCTGACAATGACCAATACACTTACTTGCCAGGGTCCAGGAAGACTCAGGCACTGGAGTCTGTATTTCCTGAGTCTGCCTCTCACTGGTAAGTCCTGAGCCCCCTTCTTTCCCAGCACCCACTCTTGGAGCAGCTCTCCAGGGCTGTGCTGTGGCGGCTGCTGTCAGGGAGAGGCCCCATGCTCCAGCCAGGGGCTTTAGGGGCTCAGTTTAGGACTAACACGCCAAGCAAGTCGTGCTGAGTGTCTGGGCTTCTTCTAGGAAGGTATTTCGAATCATCAAATGTGCCATTAAAAAAAATGCGTGTCAGTTAAGTGTGCACTAAGCCTGGACCACATGGGACATAGTTGTTCTAATAAACACGAATAAGCCAGTTTTCACATTAGAGAAATAACAGTTTCTTGTAGAAATGTGGTGCTTTTAAAAGAGGTTAATTAATAAACAGCAGGTAATTGTTCATGGCACATTGTGGCAGAGGGTAATTTTCATTTTAGAGGATGGAAGGGCCAAATACCCCTCCCCACTCAGCATTTTTCTGTAATAATCACCTCAGCTTCACCTCCGCCTTTCATTTTTACAGCTGGAGCTGTTTATCATCGCTCCAACTTTCACTAAAAAGGAAAAGCTCTCACTTAAACAAAGCCATTGAAAACCCAGCATCATATGTGGATTTTTTAACATAAATAAATCTTACAAACTAAGATTTATGTTCTTGGAATGATGTCATTCATTGAAGGCTGCCTTCCCAATCAAAGCCGTGTTCAGTGATTTTTCTTTGGTGGGTGTGCTTTTTGCTAAATACGAAAAACCCGTTCGGTCATCCTTGCTGCTATCTTTTCTCAGCTTGGCCCAGAACATCAGAAAGGTTTCTCCCTGGGCCAGTCCACAGAGCCAAATGGTGAAAATGGTTTTAACTCCATAGACTGCTTTTAAAGCCTTTGCTGTTGAACCGTAAGTCTGAGATGAAAAGACTGTTAAACCTTCCCTAAGAATGTTTGCAGGACACAGCAGAAGTTTATGGTCCTCCCAGGTCTCCCAGAGCCTAGAATGAATCTCGCTGCAGAGTAACGCATCTGCAGAAGCTTCACCGAGTTGAAATGAGTGAGGAGCATTAAAATCAGCACGCGTGGATAAATAAGATGTGGCATATCCATGCAATGGAATACTATGTTGCCATGAAAAGGAGTGAAGAGCTGACACTTGCTACAACATGAATGAACCTGGAAAACATGATGCTCCATGAAAGAAGTCAGTCATAAAAGGTCACACATTGTGTGATTCCATTTATATG